ATATTTAGTTGATATCTATATTTTACATTTTAATATAGATGTCTAATGCTTAATGTCCTTTTTCATTTTTGTAAGTTGTGTATTTACTTTTTTGTATATTATATATTTACCTAATATTTACATTTTACATTTTAATATAAATGTTTAATTACTAATTTTCTTTTTCCATTTTATTAAATTGCATATTTATTTATTTTATTATTGTTTGTATATTATATATTTATATATTTAAATGTATAATATAAAAGTTAAGTGTGGTATTTCCATTTAAAAATTTTATAGAGCATGACTACTACATGTAATATAAAATGGTAATATTACATATGTTTAATGTAGTATTTTCATTTCTTATTTTATTAGTAATATAAAAATGTAAAATTATACATTAGATCAATATTTTGGATTATTTTTTAAAAAAAATGTAAAGTGGTGATCTTACATATGTTTAATATAGTATTTCCATTTCTAATGTTTTATATTTACATATTGTTTTTTTATTTTTAAAATTTTATATATCAAGATAATCTTACATATGTTTAATGTAATATTTCCATTTATAATTTTTATATTTACATATTCTTTATTATTTATTATTTTCGAAATTATATTTATGAGTAATATTAAAATGTAAAACTATATATTATATCAATATTTCAGAAATATAAAACTAAACATAATAAGATAATAATATTATTTATTTTTAAAAATATAAAATGGTGATCTTACATATGTTTAATGTAGTATTTCTATTTGAAATGTTGCATATTTACATCATATTTTTATTTTCGAAAATATATATTTCATAGTAATCTTACATATGTTTAATGTAGTATATCTATTTAAAATTTTGTATATTTACATATTATTTATTATTTTGAGATTATATTTATCAGTAGTATTAAAGTGTAAAACTATACATTATATAATATTCCAGAAATGTAAAATTATAATATTTGTCAGATGGCTTCAGAGAGTTTCAATGCTGATATGGAAGCTCTATGAACCTTTTATAAGTATAGACTAGAATTTGACCCGCGCTTGAAGCGCGGAAATTTTTATGATTAAAAATTTGTATATTTGGATTTTCTCTTAATTTAAAGAATATTTTAGTATAAAATCAGTTCATCAAAACTTGTGGTGATGATTGTTTTTCATTAGTTTTGTGTCAGTTTTTATTTTTAGATTTTGTTTTAGATTTTAGTTTTTGGTTTTTACTTTTTAAGTTTCTATTTTTGATATTTAGTTTTTGTTTTGGGTTTGCAATTTTTAGACCGATGAGTCAGTTTGAATTGATATTACCAACAAACAAATCTCAAATAATCGAACATCTAATTTAAAAATAAAAAAATGACAAAGAACTAAAAAAAATTGCAATAGTTTATTTTGTAAATAAATAAAAGCAAAAATATAACCTGCTTTTTCAGCTTTTTGTTTTGGATTTTAGTTTTTAGATTTGGTTTTTGCTTTGCTTTTTTTTTTAAATCAATAAATTATTTAAGGAAAATAAAACAATAAATTATTTAAAAGTTACTATTGAAATTTCAAAAAAAAAAGTGATTGTTATTTAAAATAAAAAATACATTAACATGTTTTTAAGTACATGATTTAAATAAATGTTTAATAATAGATAATTTCGTTTTGTTAAAAATATTAAATATCTTTTGGACCTAAAAATAATAATTAATTTTTTGATCCATTAAGGTGAAAAGTTTATTCAATGTTTTTTGGAGTTTTTTCTTAATATTAAGCCCAAAACCAAACTATATCATTTGTTTTAAAAACAAAAGTAAGCCCAATACTATATCCCATAAATAACCACCGGTTTAATTTAAGTAATACGGTTCAATTAACTATATGGCTTGTATTATTTGTAACATTCTAGAAATATCTAAATTTAAATGATAACTTGTATCAGTAGATAAAAAGAATGATTCTATTTTAATAGAGTAGATTTAAGCTGAGCCTGAGGTTAAATACTCATATATTCTACTAAATAATAATTTTGTCGGTTCCACGATATTAGGCATACAATTATTTTTTGGTCTTTCAGCTCATATTCAAATAAAAACATCATGTGATGTCAAATTATTGTAACTAGGTCGTGACTCAAAAAGTCAAAAGTCAAAACTCCAAGCCCATATGCTGTCTTTGTATTATTAAACGCGGTTTCGGATTTTAGAAAGAAAAAAACGAAATTCTTTTTGAAAATATTTGACTCTTTTACAGAGAATTAAAAACAATTGACAAATTGTAATCGCGATCTTCCGGGCCGCTTCCTTAATTTAAGAGTCATTAATCCAAGACCCTTTCATCGTTTAGCAATTCTCCCAAAATTTATTTAATTTATCGTTAGACATTCTACATCAAAATTTATTTCTTGACAAATCTATCACCTATTCATCAATATATATCAGCTAATTTCATTCATTCTTGCACAACAAACCTTTCTCAGAAATATAATATGTTAAATGTAAATATATCTAAGTATCTAAGAGCACCACCTCCAACAAAGGAGTTCTCATCCAGTTTCTCAGAATTGAAAAATTAGAACAAATAAAAAACTAGAAGAGAGGTAAAAACTGAAGTCTCAAAAGAGATGTTATGAAAGGATGAGAAATATGGGAATAAACTTTTCTTTTTTTAATAGAAACTGTTGGAAGAGGTGAAAGATAATAACTTAATAAGACTATTTTTTTATGTCTGATGAATAAAAAGTAATTTCCTAATATCCATATGGCAATTTCTCATTGACTTTACTTTTGAAACTTCAAACAAGTTGAATTATTAAATTAACATCCTTTACTTTTAAAGTTAGAAACCCAAGTTAAATACTTGACCATTGAAATTGCTTGACATATACTCCATCCGTTTCAGTTTGTTGCATATTTTAGTTTTTCACATATTAATAAAACACATAATCAATGTATAATTTTTTTGTGATTATCATTTTTCTATAAATCTAAACCAATGAAAATCTAATAAGGCCTCGATTGGTACAGCAGATGATAAAGCAGTAGAAGTATACTGCAGAAGCAGTATGCTACAGAAGCTGTATGCTTTCATTAAAGTTTTTAATAAAGTGATTGGAAGAGCATTAGTAGTATACGATTTTAAAATTTTCATAATAGTTAGTAAAATAATATATTTCTTTTAAAATAATATATGTATAATATATATTAATAATATATAATTTTATTAAAATAATGAATTTTCATTATATAAATTATATTTTTTTAAATATTAATTATTTTTGGATATAACATATTACTCATATATAAAATTATACTTATAATTTAATTAATTATTATTAAATTATAATTATTATTAAATAAATAAGTAAATAAATTATATTTTATATATAAATTATTATTATTTATTTATTGGTAGAGCACTAAATTACTTATATATAAAATTATCATAAAAGTTAATATATAATTTATATATTAGTGTCTAAATAATATGTTTATATCGATACTATATAAATTATATTATGTTATGTTTATTATTAAAAATAATGAATGATATATGTAATTATATAAATTATATTATATTTAAATGTAAAATATTGTTCTTTTAAAAAATATTAATTATAATTTTTATTTTTATTTTTTAAAAGATAAATTTATATTTAATTATAAAAATATTGTTTATATTTTAAACAAAAATAAATTAATTATATTAATATTATTAAGTTTTATATTTTCTATATGCAAATGCTCTCCCAAAAGCTCTATATGAGAGCATTGAGCAAATAGCATTTGGAAAGCATTTGCATTTGGTAAATGCTTTTCTAGATGCTTCTTTGCCAAATGTTGATTGGATAATAGAGAGCATAATGCTTATGCTAATGCTCTACCAATCAACCCCTAAGTGCAATTAAGTTTTTGGAAAATTGTAATTAATCATTATTAATTTGTTAAAATATACCTTGAAAATGTAAAAAAAAAATGTAACTTTTTGAAATCATATTTTTTTCTAAAACATGTAACATTATGAAACGGAAGGAGTATATGTAAGAGCAAGTGCAGCAAAAGTTTATTTCCATAAATCACAGCAGTTAAAAACATAAAAGAAAACTTAAAAGGAAAAAAAAAAAGCAAAAAGCAAAAAGCAAAAGAAAAAAAAAAAGACGAAAAAATGATTGATAGTAAGAACATTTTAAATCCAAAATCATTTTAAAGGGAATAAAACTTCAAAATGAGGATTTGAGATTGAATTGTTCCAACTATAAATCCTCAAAAAAAATCCTTAAAATATATTTATTTGCATTATAATCCTTGACATTAACAAATGTTACTAATAATAATAAAACTTTACAAATACATATAAACATATATTTAATATATTATACAACACACAATATTATAATATTATATAATAAAAGATAATATAAATTATATCTTATATAATAAAATTAAATTTTTTTACTCTATGGAAGGCAAAAAATGCTATGTGTCATCTCATTAAAGTTTAAGAAATTATCTAGAAAAAATTATGTTATTGGTAAAATGCATATTTGTTTTAGATTTTGATTGTTGTAGATTGCCTTTAAACTTTCGGATTATAGAAATCCTTTAATATTATAGGTTTGTTCGTCATCTTCGTTTGAGATCCCTAGATCAGCCGACGAGGATTGTAGATGTCAGAATAATTATCAATTCTCCATGACGTCTCTACGCACGCTTGATTCACACCTTCTTTCCTCTTATTTTATAAGTGATTTACCCACTCTAGATCCTTGAAACCACCTTATCGCATCCCGAAAATAACCATGTAGAGTTGTGAGTATATATATCCTCTTTTGCAGGCATGAACAACACATCTTCGACGAACATTAGAAGAAAAGTTTGTTCAACTTTCCGATTGGTACAATGGTGATTTATTCAATCCTCCTTGACGATTTGAAAGTCGGGCGCTACTCCAACACCACCGAGGTTCACTTGCTGAGGTTTTAGGAGGTCAGAAATGTGAGGAAAGGTTGTGAGCTCATGAGTCTAAACATGCTCCTCATCGACGAGAATGTAAGCATCTCCTTTCCGATTAACGATGTTGACAATTGGTTCCATTATGATTGTCTAAAAAAATTAATTTCTCCTTTCTAACAGTCGGCGGTTATTCAAGGTTTTGTTAATGTGAACCGTCAATTCATGTTCAAGCAATGTCTCATCGAAAGATCAGTCTACAGGTTGAGAAGGCTCGATGTAACGCGCAGCAACCCCAATTTCCGGATGTTGGATGCCTCTTTCTCCATTTGGTTCAATAATGGAACTTCTTTAGTTAAGAAAACAACATTTATTAGGTCTATACCTACTGAACTTTTCAGATTCCTAACCTGGTCTGAAGTATAAATATGATATTACTGGAATCTTAAGTTATATTTATAAGTATAGGCATTGTGTGTTCATTACTAACTTTTAATTTGAGAAAATTAGCAGCTAACAAACACATTGAGATAAGACTTGATACCTAATTATTAACAAAAATTAATGAAAACCTATAACAAAAAACAATACATAATTTCAATGAAGACTTCAATAAAAATTAGTGACAAACATAAAATAATATATAACAAATAAAAAAATAAGGAACAAGCGATAAAAAAAAATTCTTAAGATAAAAAGAGATAAAAAATTATTGTATATCTAAATAAATGTTATAAAAGAAAAATCGTATGTTATGAATTTCCTAAAATCTTCAAGAATAAATTTAATATGGACATGAAAATTAAAAATACACTATTTGTAAACACACAAAAAGAGACGCTATATAAAATAAGATAAAAATAATCGTAGAAATCAAACTATATAATCTAAAATAAGACAAATGCACCAAAAATCTATAGTTCCAAAATAAAAATAGTCTTAGTCTAACTAAAGTGTATCAATAATTTTATTATGAAATTAAGTATTTGCAACGAGAGTAAGACCGAATATCAAAACATTACACAATTTTAATAGAAACTGAGACAAATAGTAATTAAATAAAATAATTCATATATAATGATAGTAAAATATTTCAAAATAAAAACAAGTGTTAAATAAAATATCTAATAAAAAACAAATTTATGAAAATCACGGGTCAGCTACTAGAGAAACAATTAATTATTTATAGAACAAAAAAATTAAATAACTAAAAATATAAAAATAAAGGATTTACGTATTAGATATAAATATTTTATGAATATTTTTCCTTATTTTTATATTAAAAATATAACAAAAATGAAAATAAAAAATAATTACATTAATTAAAAAATTTACAAGCATGTGCTTTATAACAACAATAACAAGAAAAAATATTTAAAATTAATTATTTTCAGTGACCAATAAATTTGTTAAATATGATTAATTTAAAATATATTTTGTAGTTTTTGATTTGTTCACTTGCCCATAAGACGGGCTTAACCCTAGTATATAAGAAAACAATACACATACAAACAAATTTTAGAAAGTTATATATAAAATACCAAATCATTCAAGTATTATTTCCGTAATGCTCTCATATGTGTTTATGTAATATATTTTAATTTATGTTAAGTTTTTTATGTATTTTTATTTTATGTGAGCTTTATCTAATATATTTTTTATTGTGTAAACTTTATTTTAATTTTATATAATTTTATCATATTTTATTTTGTTTTGATTTACTTAAATGACTTTAAATTAAGTTTTAGTATATGTATTTATGAAAATTAATAGTTATAATGACCAAAAAAAATATAAAATAGTTTTGAGGTTCTGAATAGTGAAACTTTAAATTTGAGGTTTCAATGTTCAGAATCTCAAAACTTGAAGATTTCAGGTTGGATTGGATTAATATAACACTTCAAATATTGAGGATTTGAAGTTAAGTTGGAGATACTCTAAAGAGACATCATTGTTATTGGAAGACTAATTCTCCAAATGTCATTTTCTTAGTGGATAAAGCTTTCAGAAATGATAAAATTTAATCGTAAAAGTAAATTATATCAGAATATTAGTATAATAAGATGAGCAAGGAGATTTGAGAAATTAAACCAGTGTTGGTGCTTTAAAATCAAACAATTATGGGACAGGACATAGTTTTTTCCTCTTTTTTTGGCTAATTAGTATTAGTGTATGTTAATCAATATGTATGTGGTGTTTTTGTCATGAATATGTCATCCAAAACTAAACAGATTGTATGGATTACCCAAATATGACCCAAAAATGGTTTACCGAAATTTACCTAAAGTTGATTAACTTCTAATAAAATACTATTTAACTAGTTTTTTTTTACTTGTTCACATTATTTAGCTCTAATTATAACCAACTATTTAACGATTTGATTTTTTCAGGGAAATATTCAACAAGAAAAATAAATAAATTCTTATGTAAAATCTAAATTCATTTAGTTTTAGATTACACTTCAAAGCTATAAATACTACTAAAGCTGGAACATGACCAGTTAACAAAAATAGAGTTCAATTAAAAAGAAAATACTCTGACATCCTATCATGCTTATTACGGCTTATATGATTTTTAGTGATTACAAGGATATCTATTCTACTAAAATAGAGTCATTATTCATTTTTGACCTATTGATAACTGTTATGTCCACCTATTTATTATCTATATTTAAGAAACCACATATTATTCTTTTTATTTACCCCTATATTAAAAAAAATACAACTTTATATAACTAATACATAATCCTTTTTAAGCTAACCTATTACGTTTCCCTCTATATAAAACGTTTAAATTTATCTCTTTTTTTTATTATCAAGTTTGAATTTGTCATTTTATATTTTATAGGACCAAAGGATCGTGCTTGAAGCACCAAAACAGAGTACATATTAAGTATCTCTATGAAACCCAGTTTTTGAAAAGAAAAAAAAAACCTCTGCAATTCCTGAAAATTTCAAATACTCCAAGAATATACTATTTTTTAACTGCAAAGATCCAAACCGAGGTATTCATAAACAAAAAGAAACTGAATAGTCAAAGTTTCTTACAGGAAGATATTGTGTTTGAGTTATGTTTCTATGAGTTCGCATTCTCTGAGGCCAAAGAGACGAATACATCTTTTAGAGAAAATACAAAAAGAAAAACTATGCATGCAATGTGTGTACCTTGGTACATCTTTTAGAGAAAATACAAAAAGAAAAACTATGCATGCAATGTGTGTACCTTGGATTAGGGATAGGGAGGTATAACATTACTGAAAGGGCTAACCTATAGATGATGATTTTTAGTTGTTTTTTATGCAATATGAACTTCTGCCTCATTGATCGTTGAGAGACTCAAGGGTTTGATTACAGAGATTTACACAAGTTCTTTTACTTCTTATAACAATTATTCAACTCTTTTAACATAAATATTAGCATTTTTATTTGAATACATTTCACATAAAAATATAAAAAGATAATTTAAACAATTTTGTAATAAGTTGTCTTTACCACATATAACAAAAAATACAATAAGATTAAACTGATAAGTATTTAAATATCTAATACAAATATTGAAATTAAAAAAATTAATTTAAAAAGAAAAAATTAACTCAAAATGGATAATCACCCATTAGTTAATTTAATCATGTATAACCGGTATCTTCAGATTTTAGCTATTTTTGCGATTTTGTTGGAGTTTTAATTATTAATATTTTTTTAAGTTTGAAATCCAAACTGATTATACTGGTTTACCGGATCAACCAAAGGTATGGATCGACTGCGGGTCTGGATTGAGTTTTAAAACATTGATTTAAATGAAAAAATATTTCAAATAGATAAAATTGTAAAAATTTCTTAAAAAAAGTTGTAATGTTGTTATTGAATGATAAACTATTTCGCGTTTGGAAAACGCGGATCAAAATCTAGTAACTCCTTTACATGACACTTGAACGAAAATAACAAAACAGTTACATAACCAATAATGTCCTATTTTTAAGGACTACAAAGATATAAACTCTTATTTTTCAATCAACTCCTATAGTAACTACCTTCCACAACCAATTAAACTTCTATCGGATAAGACCTGCGACTTGCGTAGGGTGGGTGTATGTAATTAAAATATAAGATTTTAGTATTCACAAATTTAAAATTTACATCTAATTATTTTTATATGTATTTGAAATTTTGGAATTTTTATATAATTATCTATACGTAGAATCAGAAACAATTGTAATTAGAATTGTAGCTTAAAAGTTATAATTTAATGGGTCCGGTTCATATATCTTTTCACTTTTCAGTGTTCGAGAGATGAAAAATAAATGGAGTGTTATATGGATTAATTGGTAGAGCATTATCAATTTCCCTCCCTAATGCTTTCTTAAAAGTAGTTGGTGGAATATTCGCATTTAAAATACATAAATTTCCAAAATTAATTTAATAAAATTCATTTATTTATCTAATAATATTTTTAAAAATTAATTTTTAAATAGAAAATAATTTTATAAAAATTAAGTTAACTTTTAAATTATAATTATGTTAAAATAAAATTATTTATTACGATATGAGATATATATATATACATTAAAACATAACACCTATTAAAATAAAATTATTTATTTATATGATTTTATAATCATTGTAACTTATTATAGAAAAAAAAATCTAGACCTTAATCACAAAAGTTTATGTGAGATTTTTAACAGTTTTAGTAATTTATACTCATTTTAAAAATTTCAAAATACAACATATATAAAAAATCTAAATTTTTATTATATGATTAGTGTAGTTGTGTAAATTATTTTAATAATAAAAAATAAAACAAAAATGATATAAAGTATACAGATTGTTAACAAATCTTTATTATTTAAAATCATTAATAGTCATATATATATGTTAATCACATTAGGTAATTTCGTAGGTTATATTTAAGGAAATACTATATATGAGATTTAGTTTGATATGTTATTTAGTTTGATATGTCTTATATGAGACTAACAGATTTTGTTTTAAAACTATGCTTTATATGATGTGCTCTAAAATTCTTGTAAGTAGAATTTCATAGAGAACTGTCACATAGGATATGATTTTTTAATTAGTACAAACTTAAGGTTATAACTTTTAAAATGACCATCAATTAATATATAGAGGATTTGGTATGTGCATTTAATCAAACCATTATTCTTATTTATTAAAAATCATTTTATAGTAAATAAATCAACGCAATCAATTTTATCCATCATATATTATATACAATTAAATTTAAAAGATATTAAGAATATCTATAATATATTTTAAATATGAATGTTTAGTAAACGAATTTTCTCATTATAAAGTTTTATAGTTATCAATATATTTTTATAACAAAATTTTGAACAATTAAAAATTGAATGCAAATTTTAAAATTAAAATATTAAATTCTCAATACTTTTCGATGAAAATATCAAA